TGTTCTGTCCCTCTCTCTGGAGATATTCCAACCCCGGCTGGCCGCGGTGCTGTGCAGCCTGCTCTGGGTGACCCTGCTTCGGCAGGAGGTTGGGCTGGGGGATCCCCAGAGGCCCTTCCAACCCCTGCCATGCTTGGATTCTGTGATTCTGTGAAGAAAAATGTTATAAACAATATGGATGTGGAACTGACCTATATGGACAGCCCTAAATACTCTTCTAAATTCTAGTTTTACATGGTCCATCTCCAAATTCTGGTTTGTGAGGGGAGTGCTGTTGCCAAAGAGTAACGTAGGATGGATTGCCAGGCACACCTGGAGTCAGGTACAAACCCCTCAGCTCAGTTTATTTGCAAAATACTCTCAATGTGCGCAGTCTGAGCCTCCTAAAGAGGCTGTTCCGGAGAAAGGTGGGTGTGAAATGGTTTTCCATCAGTTGGCAGGATTTTTGCTTCCCCAACATCACACTTAACACTGGCTGAAATGTAGACTCTTGAGTGCCCGCACAGAGGAGCCCACTGCAAAAGATTTTACATCAATCACCTGTTTTCCATTATCTAAAACATTGTTTTGAGCTTAACTTTATACATTTGCTCATGTTAGTATGTTATTTAGATTGTTTCGGTGTCTCGTTTAATTTTGACTGACATAAATTAATTTTTTAAAAAAGGATTTTTTCCAAATTTTTTAAACAAAACCATTTTCCCTTAAGGAAGTGATTTGGTTGAGATGTATTTGGTGAGAAATCATTGATGAATTCCCAGCCAGCTTTAATCCTTTCGATAAATGAATTTGCGAATGGCTTGGGTCTTCACAGACAGCCAGATGGAAAAAATGAAAGGGTTTTTGGAAATACTGCAAGAAAAACCAGTCAGCCTGCGCTGACCTGACACGAGGCTGCTGCTGTGTTCAAGGTGGGGACGGTTTAATCGCCGAACAGCCTCCCACGAGGCAAGAGATAAACACCTCTTCACTTCATAAACACGAAGTCTGCAGCAATCTACAGCGTTATAGCACGCCGGCCCCACGCTCCCCGGCTCAGCCCTAGCCGTAAGGAACGGGCAAAATATAAAGGAAATGAGCCAGCTTTTCTCTCTTTCCTGTTTGGAAAAGTTTTGCCTTGAACCCTGTGTTATCGTGTGTGAAAATGAACCGGACGACACAAAGCGTGTCCACGGCACGGGAGGAGAATGGCAACAAAAAGCTGACGCTAAAATTTTGAGGTCTTTTTCCTGTTTTTTACCTACGGGCCGCCTGTGGCTATACGTTCCCCTGCACGTTACTGGTGCCGTTGTTTTCTTTGAGCACGCAAGTAAAAAATGTAGCCAAGTCTGATGTCTATGACAGCTTATCAACATGGAAAAAACAAATTTTCCTCGCTGTGCTGTGCAGAGAAGCAACATTTCAGGTCTCCGGGAAGTTCTGCAGCTTCACCCCTCTTTACTTGGATGCACAGGTTTTATGGGTAGGTTGTGAGAAGAAGGATGAATTTTGCATCGCTGTCAGGTGCAGAAGAGTATATTTAATTTCCGAGTATCACAGAATTACAGAATCACAGAATGGTAGGGGTTGGAAGGGACCTCTGTGGGTCACCCAGTCCAACCCCCTGCCGAAGCAGGGTCACCCAGAGCAGGCTGCACAGGACTTTGTCCAGGCGGGGCTTGAATATCTCCCGGGGAGGGGACTCCACA